GAGTTTAGGGGTGGTGGGTTTGTGGGAATACTCATAAGAGGTGGGATATGGCGTGGAGAGGGTGAAGTGGGACGGGGAGAGGTTCGTCCGGTTATGTCGGCGTATGTCGGTTGTCTTGGGGGTGAATTGGGTCTGGTGTTACTGTTAATTTGTCTGGGGGATGCGTTTTGTCGGGGTTGATAGTTGTCATCTGGGGGAGGGAGATAGGGATTTCTGGAGTACTGTTCTAAGGGGACGTTGTCGGCACGAAGGGGTTGAGCGCCGAGGGCATGATTTTGTGGGGTGTCCGTATCGGGGGAATGACGATTTCTGGGGTTGTGGCGACGGAAGGCTGGTGAAGGGGTATGGATTGCTGAGGGATGTCTATACCGAGACGTGTCTCAAAGGGTTCTTTGAATTAACCTCGCGACCTCAATGAATTGTTCCATAGTCGTGCATCGATCGCGACCCATCTCTTTGAAATAAACCGGATTAAGTTGTGATTTTAAGATTCCCAATTGTCCTTGTAAGGGGGGAGGGGGATTGAGACTCGAGAATAGTCTACGAACACTAGTGATATAATCTCCGACATCTTCGTCTACGCCCTGAAACCGTTGGTGAATATCCTGCCCGATACTCTCCTCTTGATCGTGAGGACAGCACATCAACTGGAACGCTCGCAAGAAATCATCAGAACTCCTGATATTTGGCAGCTCTGTCAGATACCAAGAGTGAGCATTATTTTTAAACGCTGAGGGAAGAGCCCGCAGTGTCTCCGTCTCAGTTAATCCGTTGGATTTACAGCACAACGTGATGCTATCGAGGAACGTGTACCGATCTTCTTCGCGAGTTCTCGAAAAGCCAATTCCATCCCTTTTGAAGATATTACTAACCCTCAGATCACGAGTTTGCAGATCATATTGCGTCTCTTCACGGAAGGGGGCCCTATACGTGTCCTGGAGACGAGTTTGTGCGAACCCAACGGGAGGGGCGGTGACATGTGTTGAGGGCAGCGGGGGTGGGATTAATGGGTCCTGGGTCTGAGAATATACTGGGTATGAATTCCTGGGGGTAAGTACGGGTCAGGAGGGAAGGGTCTGGGTGGGGTAGTA